CAAATGGGACAATGTCTATAAGAAAAACATTGAAGCTAGTGTTGCTCTTCTTAAAAAGCTCGTAGACGAATGGAAGGATCATTCCCACAGACTATCATCATCACCAAGTAATACTACTCTCAATCGAACTATGAAGAGCTTCATGCTAAAGGTAATGCCTCCTACTCCACTCATTCTAAATTTCATCTCTGACCTAACCTGTGATGTTTGTAGAACAAAATGCACATCACCAAAAAAGGAGCCAACGCTTCTCTTTACAAAGAGGCTGACAAGTACAGCAAACAGATCTCGGTGAGACTCTCCCGTGGAAATGGCTTCCTCAAAGGTATAGCCATTAGTGCTGTGCTTCTAGTTCCAGTTGTTATATCTTCCAACCTGGTGGGCTCATTCGATCCGCACGAATACATCAATGCAATCACCACAGCTTTGAAATACTAAGAGAGCAAAGAAACAAAAAAAAAAACTGAGGACGACGCATAGAGTGGTAACTCTGGTTAATGTGTAGAGTTGGAGCTTTTTACGTTCCGAGATACAAAATTGAAAAACTTGACTAGTAAATAATGAGAATTTGGTTTTTATAATCACACTTGGGATTTGGGAGTCTCTTCAATGCTCGCAAGTGGGTCCCTAACACAGTATCACAGACACACAGAGAGTCGTCCTAGATTACTGCCGTTTAAACTTATTGGGCCATTAGAAAGGCCCATTTAAGCTCGAGTTGGGTAACTCACTCACTATATAATGCCCCAAGTTTCCTCGAGACTCCGCCGTAAATTTCTGTGATGAAGCCGGAAACTAAGAGAACCGCCGCAGTTATACGGCGGAGCGACGCCGACGGTGGTTCTTCTCCGTTCAATCTGAGCTCTCTGAAGCATGCGATCGACACTATAGATGTTGCAAAGGAAACTACAATTGATCTATCGTCGTTGTCTGTGGCGTTAACCTCGGCGATTCGTAAGGTGAAGCAAACTGAGAATTCTCAGCGTAAGCGAGTGAAAGATAACAAA